CGCTTCGGCAGCGCGCACCCTAAAACGAACACTACGGAGAAGGGGAGCTCGGCCGCTGCCCAAGGGTGGCGCGCAAACTCGCCAGGCGTTCCGCGTTTTTTTAAAATTAAAAAACAGTAATAAAAACAGGAATTGACAAGACAAGCCATTTGGGGCTTGAGGGTAAGCAAATTAGTAGAGAAGTAACCAGGCTTGTTTCTGCAGCCTTCTTAGTCCCAGCTTCCCCGTGAAAAAAGTCCCCCCACCTCCCCGTGCAGGGAGGGAGCCTTTCACAGCGAGATTTGTTTCCTGCTTTAAGGAAGACAAAAAGCAGGCGGTGTCCTTGTTGCACTGCCTGTTTCTTCAGCAACTTTAATTAATGTATATATTTTAAAAGATTTACTTACTTATTTTTTAGAGAGGGGAAGGGAGGGCGAGAGGGAGAGAAACATCCGTGTGTGGTGGTCTCTCGTGCCCCCTACAGAGGACCTGGCCTGCAACCCAGGCCTGTGCCCCGACTGGGAATCAAACTGGCGACCTTTTGGTTCAGAGGCCGGAGCTCAATCCAATGGGCCCCACCAGCCAGGGCAAGTAACTCTAATTCAAAATAATATGCCAGAGTGGCACATTGTGGGGCTGCCTGCCTTGAACCCCATCGAAACAGAATTAGAGCCCACAAGCCTGTTCGAAATGTTGCCAAACCATCGCGAGAAGGAGCGGGACAGGCCTGGGCCCGGGGAGTTGCCCCTGGTACTCCGCCCCCGCCCCCGCCGGCTGCGACGCCCGCGCCGGGCTTCTTGGGGAAGGGACCTCTCAGCCTTCAGCCCCGTTGTCACAGGGCGATGTGTCCCTGTGGAAGTCTCCAGTATGGTCCCGCGTGGCCACCTCGACACCTTAGGCCGTGAGCTGGGTGGAGGGAGCACGAGCGCGAGCCCTGGAGCCCGGCTCCCGGGCCACCTTCGCACCCCGAGCCCAGAGCCCGGGTCACCGCTTCCGGGCCCTGCGGCTGCTCGGCTGGCTCCCAGGCCTGCAGGCCAGCGCCACGCGGCCGTGGCAGCATGTCCCCAGCTCCAGGGCCTGGGGCCCTCCGTCCCCGGCTCCCTCTGCTCCCTCACTTGGCTGGTACGAGAACGACAAGGGCAAGGACGCTGGCGACGGCCACGTGCCAGCTCCACGCTGACCCTGATCGACGGGGGTCTGGGCCTGGTTCCCAGTCGTTCGCCGTGTATCGACGAGCAGGCGCTGGGCATGGGCAAGGAGCACGCGCTGCCAGGAAGCTGGTGACGTCAGCCCAGGAGCAATAGACAGGCTGCGGAAAACAGCTGCGTTATTTCCCACAATTGAAGAGCCCACAGAGAATGAACTAGAAGCAGGAACCAGGTCTGTTTCTCTAAAATGCCTCACAGGGCCGGTTTCCCACCCACTCCTTCCGCCCTGCGCCCCGTGACCCGGGCTTGCGCTGGCCCCTTGTCCGGCTGCCCTGCCCACACCCCCAAATTCCTTCCTCCCAGACATGTTCCAGGCCTGGGCCAGAGGAACAGCAAAGTCAGATTCAAAACCAAATGAGGTTACCTGCTTCTTCTGCGCCGAGTTTACCGGGGTGGCGCTGGTCGAGCGGGACGAGGGGCCGGCACGCCGCTGCGGATTGCAGCGCGTTCGCCACCCCAAGTGCTTTAGCGTCGACCAGGAGGAGCGTTCCCCTTTCCAGACCTTCACCTGTTTTTGTGCAGCCTGGGATGTAAGCACGGTGCTTACATTTTTAAATGACTGGGGGAAATCACGTCAACTATTTCATGACATGAGGAAATGATGAAATTCACATTTTAGACTCCATGCACGAGGCTTTGCTGAAACACACAGCCACACCTCTGCTCTTGCTACAGCTGTGACGTTGCACAGAGGCTCGGGGTCTGCAAGGTCTAAACAGGTTCATCTCTGGCGGCATCTTTGGCTCGCTGAGCAGACACCAAGAGCAGAGCTCACCCTCCCCAGTTGGAAAACCATTTAAGAACCAGAAGTTATTGAAATTAACTGACGGCACACGTGTCCAAGGAATCCAGGAAGATCTGGCCCCTCTACGGCCCCGGGGACAGAGGACCATGCGGCGTCAGCGGCCGATGGGCAACAGGCCCGCACCGAGGTCTGGCAACACGAGGAGACGTGCCATCGGATGCCTTCGAACAGGAGTCAGCAAGAGCTGCGCCCCCGAGAGACGACCCTGCTTCCGCAGGACTTCTCACCACAGCGCGCTGTACTGATATAAAAACTGGGTCGCGTACATTTTCTCAGGCAATGTTTTGGTTAAACAAACTTTCGTAACAGTCAAAAAGTTCTCTGGCCACTGACGGACAGTTTACAAATTCCTGGACTGAAATGTCCAGGCTGAAAGCAGCCACAGCCCGTCTTACACTGTGAGCCGTTCGCTGCAGAGCACTTCACAGCCCTTGGCCGACTTGTTTCCCCAAGCTTCACGGGGTGGGTATCATCAGCAATTTTTACATGACAAGCGGAGACCGAGAGAAAACCTTGCCCATGTCACAGAGGCGGCTAGAATGAAATGAGACCTGCCTGGCCCCGCGCCGGCCTTCCTCCCTTCCTCCCCGCACGCGGCAGGTCTCCTTCCAGCGTGGAACCACGGAGCCTCCGTGGACACCCCGCCCGTCCTGACTGCCCCTCCGCGGCCGCCGAGGCCGGGCCTGCAGCTCTGTCCCGCCCGAGCCTTGGACTCTGCGGGGTCGACGCTGGGTCTTCTAGGGGCTTCTGCCGGGCAGTTTTAAGTCCTTCGCCGCCCAGACCTCGTCCTCTCGGCACGTTCCAGGGCCCAGCGCCCCCGCACAGGGAGGCTCCGAAAGCGAGCTCGCTCCTGGGGCGCCACGCGTGGGCGCGGACGGGCTTATTGTCCCTGCCCACCGAGGGCTTGAATTCCTGTTCTGCGAGCTGATGACGTGGCTGTTCCCTTTCACTCCTTGTCATCTACGCCCTATTTTCCATCCAGGTCAGTAGCAGAACCAGTGAAGTTTATCCTTCGTTCCAGAAGGGGGCACTCACAGGCCCCCTCTTTATCGAGCGCCCGCTTTCCTGTCCCGGGGACCACGCTGGGACCCATGTGACACTGAGCCACAGTTGGGAGGAAGCTGGACGCGTCATCTCTTCCGGAGCCCTCCCGACACCAACACTCCCACCCGTACGGAGAAGTCCACTTGTTTCTCTCTCTTCCCGTCTTTTCCTTTCAGGGTCCCTGAGCAGCCCCCCCCCCCAACTGCCTCAAACCCCAGACCCACCACCTGCCCAGTTCCATTGCGTGAACTGGGGCAAGGCCCTGGCTGTCCCTCGGCCTTTCTCTCACCTGTGACACAGGGACAACGAGGCCACTCAGCGAGTACCCAACAAGTTTTCATATGAGGTTCCTTTTTCAAAGACTATTTATTTTTAGAGAGAAACATCAACATGTGGTTGCCCCTCCCACACCCCCTACCAGGGACTGGCCCGCAACCCAGGCCTGCGCCCCGACTGGGATCAAACCTGCGACCAGCCAGGGCACATGAGGTTCTTACATCTAGTACCAAGAAAGGGAAAATAAACAGGGGGAACTAGAGGATTAGATATCTTTTCTTTAAATGGAAGTCATACTTTTAAATTTCCCTTTACGCTGCTACTGCCATGCTACACAGAACACACTGTCCCTCGCTGAGAAATGGGGCGACCCTCCCCTCCCTCTCGGGCCTCGACCCGCACACCTTCCCGCAGGCAAAACGAACGCGCCCCCAGCACCCTCGTCTCCATGGGTCCCTGCGGCCAAACCCCGAGCTCAGGAGGCGCCCGTCTCCCCGGCGGCCCCTCCCCGTGGGACAGGCCCCCGCCCCCGTCACTCCCCGGGAGCACAGGCCACGGGCCGGGGAGGTACGATCCCCGAGCCTTGAGGACGCCTGTCTCCACTTTCTTGCTCAGGAAGAGTAAGAGGAGGACTTCGAACGGGCAGGGGACTCTGAGAGTCCCAGTTCTTTCAACGTAGAACTTCAGGATTTAAACAAACTCAATGTGAAAAACATTTATTACAGAAAGTTGGCTTTGACATGCTACACTGAAAGCAGACACGGTTTCCAAGTCAAAAGGGATGCTGTGAGCTGCAAAGGGAAGCCCCAAGGCTGGCGATGGGTGGCTCACACCAGCGACCGCGCGGCCACAAGTGACCGAGGGGCCAAGCCACAGGTAGTGGCGCAGTTTGGAACCACCCCTCAGAAATCTCGTTCTTAGGGAACCGTTTCGCAATCTCTACTTTTATTGTCTAACTAGATTTTATTTCCATCTGGAAAATTTTTTTATTGGTGCGTGACCTTTCCCTGACGGTTTTTCCCTCTTGGGTTCTGCAAGGGAAAGGCAGTTCTGTCAGGGACCTGCAGGTGAGGCAGCAGAGCCCGGCAAAGCGGTGTTTAGCCGTCTCCCCAGCAGCAAAGCAGCAAAATGGACGCTAGGAAAGGCCCTATTTGCTAGTTAATCAATGGACCAGGGATCTGTCAACGGGGAGACAGTAATTTAGGGCGAAGACGGGCCGGAGTGCAAAGAGGCGCGAGGCCGGGTGGGCCTGCCCACGCACACAAGCGGCCGCGGGGCCCGGTGTCCAGTGACCTTTCCCTTGAACGCCGGCGCCACTAAATGAAGGAATGACCCTGTACGTTCCGGCTACAGATGTGCCCCCAGTGACGTGGGAGAGCCTCCGGCCCGAACTCTGGAGCGCTGTCCCTGCGGCCTTGCGAAGCCTGCTCCTGCGTCCGGGTGGCGGGGGAGGGCGGGCACTTTCTCTGGACGCGGTGATCCATGCAGAACCCTGAGCACCACGGCCACAAGAGGGCTCTGGGCCCAGGGGCTGAGGTCGGGAAGCCCCCACCCTGAGCCAGGAACCAGGAAAGGGTGGGGCGGGGAGCGGGGACCAGCCCAGGTTTCTGGGGAAACAGGGCTTCAGGCACTTCCCTGTTTGTACGAAGAGGACTAGGAACCTCCCGCCCCTACTCAGAGCAAGAACCTTTGACCAACCACGGTTTTATTTCAAGCTACATCCGAACACACACAAACACAACCTCATCAAAGAGCCAGAAGCTCCCCGACACACACTCGGCGTCGGCGTCGGCGCAGAGCTCAGACCACACCTGCAGCAGCCAGCGCGGCAGCCTCAGCCACAGAGGGTCTGTCCGGTGGTTCGGCTGCAGCTCCAGCCCAGAAACCCACAGGCTTCTCGTTCCCTGAAAACTCCCCACAACCAAAGGTCCCGTGTCTCCTAGGACGCAGTGTCTTCTAGGACGCCGTTGGCCTCGGTCGGTCTGCTCGCGTGCAGGGCGGTGCAGGAGGGCCCCGGGGCACTCCCCGTGGGGACGGGGCAGGAGAGGCGGATGGCGGCCCCAAACAATCACTGCAGCTGCTCAGGTCCCCAGGCCGGGGCTGCCCCTCGCTGCTGAGGAAGGAGCCGAGGCTCCAGGCCCAAGGTCCCTGTTCGAGGACCCTGCACGCTGGGAGGCGAGCGCCCTCCACGCCTGTGTGAAGGGGGTCAGCGGGCTTGGCCAAGACTCCCGCTGGGCTCCTCGCCGGCCCCCCAGCAGCGCCAGGAGAGGAGGGAGACAAGGGGGGAAGGAGGGCTCCCGGCCGACATCACGAAAACATATCTCCCGAAGGACAAAGGGTCCCGGGGGCTGGAGGACAGAGGCGGCATCCTGCGAAACCACAGCACCAGGGGCCGAGGCCGGCGGCACCCGGGCCGGCCGGCTCGGAGGGGGACCCGGGTCACACCAGGAACGAGGAGGTCTGTCTGAACTCCCCCTGCGGAAGCGAAGCACACGCTCAGAATCCCCCGAACACGCCCCCCGAGGCTGGAAGGCCCGGCCCCGCCCTGCACACTCACCTCACTTCGGGCGGAGGGCTGGCTGTAAATGACCTTCTTGCTCTCAGTCCTGCGGGCAAACCAGGGGATGGAGACGCTCAGACCCCCAGCCCCTCCCCTTCAGGCCTGCGGGCAGCTCCGGAGGCCCGAACTGAGACCGGCACAGAACCACAGGGCCCCGGGGGCGGGGGGCGCGTGGAGGGAGGGGGGCAGCACGGAGCCACAGGGACCAGGTAGAACTCCAATGTCCTTCCCAGCGGCCCACAGCCCCGACCTCCCAGCTCCGCCCCTGGGCCCATCACAGCTTCAAACCACCCCGGGGGCCCCAGCACAGTACCGCACTCACCCTTTCTTCGTCCCTGAAAGAGAAGAAGGGAGACCATGTCAGCCGAAGAGCACGGTGCAGAAGGGGGGGGCCCCACACACGGCACCGGCGGGGGGCAGTGGGGGCTCCTTGGAGAAGAGCCCCGCACTCGCGGGCTGCGTCACGAGGGCACCCACACCACGCCCGGGACCTGTGCCCGAACCCGGCACGGGATGAGGGAGACCCTCCGAGGGCAAGTCCTTACTGTCAAAGTAGCCGCGGCGGTAGGCGAACCAGATGCCGAAAACCAGCGCCCCGAGGAGAAGGAGTGTCACCAGGACCGCGGCCACGATGCCCCCGACGTTCAGCTCCACTGCGGGGTGCAGACGAGAGGTCGGCGCACGAAGTCTCGCCGCGGCGCCAGCACACCGCCCGGCCGGCGCGGAGAGCGGCCCCCACGCGGTGCGAGCCGCGCCCCACACGCACCTGCCTCCATGCGCACCGCGTCCGACATCATGGGCATCCCGTAGCCGTTCCGGGCCTCGCAGGTGTACTCCGCCGTATCGAAGGCCGAGACAGGATCGAAGATCTGGGGGCAGGGCAGCCAAGCGCCTGCCTTTGAGGTTCTGCGACCCTAATGCCCGGCTCCCCCGGCTGTGCGCTCTCCCCCGCCTTCCAGGGCTTCTGCTCCTGTGCCCCCGCCTCCCCTCCGTACCAGCTCCCCCGTCTGGGGGTTCAGGCTGTAGGAAGAATTGCTGAAAGCACGGCTGTTCTTGGGCTCCAGAGGCATCGGGACCCCATCGCGGTACCAGAGGTACTGAGAGGGCGGGGAGCCGTCCGTCTCGGAGCAGGTCAGCACCGCGCGGCTCCCAATGGTGGCGGAAGAGGGGACGTCAACTGTGGGCTTGGACGGAGGCACTGCAAGGGAGGGCAGGTGCTGGGCACGGCGCGGGGGGGGCCGCCGGGAGCTGCAGAGCCGGCGAGGGCGTCTCCCCAGCCGTCGGCTCCAGCCCTCCCTCGCCAGGCGCTCGCCCCTCTGGCAGCGCCACGGAGCCCACCCAGAAGACACGCACCGAGCACAGTGAGCTGGACGCTGACCTCCCCGTAGGTGGTGCCGCCTTCGTCCGAGACCATGCAGGTATATGTCCCCGTGTCCTTCCGGGTCACGGAGTGGAAGGTGATGCCGGTGTTCGAGAAGGTCACCCGGCCCTCATAGGGGGCTGCGGGGAGAGGGCACCAGGGCGGAGTGAGCTGGGGGCTGGGGGCTGGGGGCCGGGGCCGGGCGGAAACGGGAGGGAGGCGCAGGGCTCACCTGTGATCTTGCTGTTGTAGCAGACGAGGCTGGTGATGTCACCTTGGGCAAACTTCCACTCCACCCGGGGAGAGGAGAAGCCGGAGAAGGAGCAGGACAACTTGGCAGCTGTGGGCGGGTCCCGGTGAGCAGGAGGAAGAGGCCACACCCATGGACAAGGCGGGGGGCGGGGCAGGGGGGGACCCGGGGGCCTTGGCCTGCTCACCCCTCCCCCGGCCCAGCCCCTGCCAACTCACGTTTATTCTCAGGAACTTGGACTTCGGGTTCGGAAGTGTACACGGATCCCCTGCCCAGCGCCAGCGAGCCTGAGCCGAAGGCGAGATGGCGCGTCAGAGGCGGGCCGCGGGCGCGGGCGTGGCCTTCCCGGTTCAGGGGTGGCCTTCCCGGTTCGGGGCGAGCCGGCCGCCAGCCGCCCCACTGACGGGGCGCCGAGTTCCCTCCCACACGCCCTTTCCCTTTCTGTTCACAAACCACAGTGTTTCTCAGAAAAGCCACTGGTCTAATGGAGACAGGCGACAGAGCGAAATGCCACTCTTTCAAAAGCCAGGCCCGTTTTGCCCGGCGGGCGGGGCTCCGTTGCCTGGAGCGCTACACGGAAAGCTCCCGGGTCCAGCCCCCGGCCGCGGAGCCTACAACAGGCAACTGGTCGATGTTTCTTCTCTCTCTCCCCCGCTTCCTCCTTCTCTAAGGGCACTGAAAACATGTCCTCGGGTTCAAAACAACGAAGTCTGGCCCATTTCACCTGTCATTTCTTTCTAATACTGTTACCTTGTATCTGTGTATTTGGAATTGCACGTCAATGTCAAATCTATAATTAAATGTAATAACAGACACGGAAATTAAGAAAAATACCAAACTGAAAACCGGGCACATGGCATCTCTCTGTTCTCATCAAGACTGGCTGCTGGCAGGAAGGGCCCTCACCGCTGCCCCGGTCAGCTCTCTCTGCTTTAATGATCAGGACTTCGTGTGTTTTAGAATCTCAGATTTTACAATTTGCTGCCAGTGACGCGCACTGAGGGGCGAATCAGGCGCCTCCTCAGGGAGGGAGGGCCCGCCCGACCGCTGGGGCCGCTGGCTCAGGAAGACCCTCAGCCCCCAGGCCTCCAGGGGCAGCGGCCTGCGTGCCTGGCCGGCGAGGGGGGCAGGTGCGCACGGCGCCCACTGCACCGCACCCAGGCTTCCGTGGAGCTGGCCGAGGCCTCGTGGGACTTCTGCTGCCTGATCCTGCTTCCTTGCCTCCTCCCCACAGGCGTGGACCCCAAGAGCAGACCCTGATAAATGTCTTGGGACAGTAACTCACACCTCAGAGTGACGCAAGCTATGGCACCACCCACATAAAGAGCAGCTGCTAATTAGACTCAAAACTAGCCTTTGAAATAAAGGGCTACACCAAAAAAAAAACAATGTCACTGCCCATGGGCTTGGTGGCCATCTGGGCACTGCCGCTGACTCAGCGGCAGCTCCCTCCTGAGACCCTCCTCCGCTGGCACGTCTAAGCCCGTTCGGTCTAAGCCCGTTCGGCCCGCCCGTGCCCCCGACGCCTTCCTCCTCGTCGTCCGGACCCCGCGGCTGGACCCAGGCTTCTCCTCCCTCGATCAAAGCCCAGGCCCCGCGCCTGCAGGCCTTCCCACCTCCCTCTGAGCAGGACCACGGGCCGCCCAGCCTGTGTCGGCCCCCAGTCCAGCCCCACAGCCACGCCCTTCCTATGGCCACCAGACCCCCCCCCCGCCGCCCCCTCATCCCCGAACGAGCCCCTGGGTCCGGGCCGGCCCCACCTCTGCTGTGCACGTAGCTGTGTGGCCCGGGCGACCCCCCATCACTTGCAGTCTCGTTTGTACAATGGGGATAAAAGCAGTTTCTGTATCACAAGGCTGTTGCTGAGAGAGAAACAAGCTCTAATACAAAGCACTTACAAAAGTGTCTGACCGACAGGAAGCACCAAATAGCAATTATATCATCACCTGCCCATAAGCCCTTCTGCCAGGATTCTCTTCCTGACTTCGATGTTTTCTTTAAGTAGCCATAAATGCACAAATACAGAGAGGTAAATACTGCCTGGAAAACACCTGCCCTCCAGCCCAGCAAACCGCCTCTCCTCTGCTCCTGGAACTGCTGGGGGACACTCCTCTCAGGACCTTCATGGGGGGCGGGGGGGCCCGCGGACCGGAGGCCTCCCTCGCTGCATCCTGCCTCTTGCTCACCCGCGGTTTCCCTGCCCACCCCTCCTCTGCTCTGCGCTTCCCCTTGCCTCCTCCCAGCGCCCTTTGCCCTTAACCTTGAACTCACACTCAGCATGTTGTACACATACACCGATGCCCTACTAATGCACACGGTTCACCAAAGCAGAGGGGCATTTCACCCTTTCGCTTGTACTGCTTAATTTACTCTAGGTTCACGGCAAAAAAGGCCACAAAGCCAAGGGCAGCCAGACTTTTGGCCCTTTCACGTACAGAAAACCTTCATTTAACCTTGCACGGCTCTCTCGCTAGAAGTTCCTTATTTATTTCTTTTAGAGAAGGGAAGGGAGGGAGAAAGAGAGGGAGAGAACATCCGTGTGTGGTTGCCTCTCGCGCGCCCCCCACTGGGGACCTGGCCCGCAACCCAGGCCCGGGCCCCGGCTGCGCGTGGGACCCGCGACCCTTTGGTGCGCAGGCCGGCGCTCGGCCCGCGGAGCCGCACCCGCCCGGGGTCCCTCCGAGCTTCCCAAGGAAAGTGTCTGCACACAGTTTCCAGCCACCACCACCGTTCACCACCCAGTCGACTGCAGTGTGGCTCAGGCTCTGACCTTGGAATTAAAATTACTTCTGCTGAGGTCGCCCACCATCGTGTTTCTCAATTCTAAGAGGCCCTGACCACAAAGTGAGAGCTTCTTGGGGGAAAGTCACACTGAACGGACACACAGGCTGTGAACCACACCCCCATCCCAAAAGCGTTAAAATAGCCTTAGAATCCAGAGCGCGAGCACCTGCGTTTCCGGCTGCCGCCTGCGGCCTCCGCGGGCCGTTGCCCTGCCCGCCCCGCCCGCCCGCCCGCCCCGCTCGCCCCGGGAGGTGCTCGCTCCCACGGTGTCTGGGTGCAGCCCTCGTGCTTCGCTTCGGTCTGGGCCTCTGTCTCACGCGCCTGCCTTCCCGAGCTTCGCTCCCTCTGCCCCTCCCTTCATGGGAGGGGCCCCCGACATTCCATCCTCGCCTCTCCCTCCACATTCTGGCAAACGCAGCCCCCCATCCACCTACACCCCCACTGCCTCCCCCCGAGCGGCAGACCCCCATCCCTGAGCCCCCCGCCATCCCAAGGGCTTCCCGCCCCCTCCCCTCGCACACTGCACCGCCCCCCCCCCCCGCCTCTGTCCCCCCGCCCCCTGCAGGTCGGTGGCAAGTCTGCTCGGCCCCTTCAGGCACCCCCATCTGTCCTGGACTCTAGCAAATCCAACACTGAGCTTTACGATCAAGGTCACCCCCCAGGTGCCCTCGAGCGGGCGCCTCCTCTCCACCCCCGCTGCCCCTTCCAGCGCCACGACCCCCGCACCCGGACTGGCTGCGCTGTGCCCCCTCACGCCCGCCCTCTGCTGAGTGCTTGCTGCCCGTCAGGCACTGCTCTGAGCTCACTAGGCGGCCCATCGTTTCCTCCCTGCGACGACCTGCCGTCGGGTGATGCTGTTTTTATCCCCCTTCCTTTATCTGGGGACAGAGGCCCCGAGCGGCTGCGTGGTGGCGCAGGTTCCAATGAAGGCCACCCCAGAGGCGGGGTGGTGCTGGTCCCCTCCAAGCGCCACCCCGCACAGGCTTCCCGCGCCCCGTGGTGCCAAAGGCACCCTGTGAACTCCGCCCTGGCTGGGGGCTCGCCGAGGGTCCCTCCCTGGGTCCACTCCCAGTCGGGGCCGGGCCTCGTCTGCAGGCCAGGCCCCCAGCCCGGGGCGCAGGAGAGACAGCCACACTTGGAGGTTTCTTTCCCTCTCTCTCTCCCTCCCTTCCTCTCTAAAAATAAGTAAATAAATTTTTTTTTTAAAGATAACACGCAAATTCTTCAGGCAGGCAAGGTTTCTGGCACCACCTGACCTTGTGACAGCTTGTCATCTTCATCGCCCTCTCTGCTCTCGCAGTTTACTCTCCGGTGACACCGAAGCGCACACAGTCCCCAGAGGAGCCGGCTCCTCAACGCGCTCTTCCGGCCGCACGGAAGGCCCTTTCCCGCTTTCTCGCACGCGCGGGCACGCGCGTCCGTGTCCAGAGGCAGCCTGAGCTCACCTGAGCCAAAGCTTCCCCTGCCCTGCGCGCGCCACGTCTCTGTACCCTCGGCACACAAGCTCGTCCCTCGCCCCCCCCAACACTGAGCCCCAGGGAGCAGGGACCCCACGTTCACTACTCTTCTGAGAAAGCGTCACCAAGCCTAACATCTGATGCAGGTTTGCACTAAACACCACAGAACCTTAACAACTTAGTCATAGCAGACTAGTCACTGTAACATGTATGGCTGACCTGCAAAGATAAGCCTATTTTTCAAACTGGCAGATAGGGCATACCCAAAGGAAGGAAAAAGCAAACTGGATTTAAAACCCAATCTTTAAACAATTTTAATATAGCAAAGTATTTTCCCCTCAACTGTCCAGCCCTCAGGGGGGAAAAAGAGTATTCTATTAATCCCTTTTTAAAAGTTTAGATTTGTGCCCAGGCTGGCGCTCAACCCACTGAGCCTGTGTTTTGGCCTGTGAACCTAAAGGTCGCCGGCTGAGTCCCAGTCAGGGCACCCCGGTTGGGGGCCTGTGAGAGGCAGCTCATGTTTCTCTTGAACATCGATGTTTTTTTCCCTCTCTTTCTCCCTTCCACTCTCCTGAATAAATAAATGAAAATGAAATTTTTTAAAAAACTTAGATCCATAACTTAAAAATAACTTTTTCAAATTGGCTTCGAAGTTTCAAACAGAATTAAAGTTCCCTGCCCAGAGGCATTGCCCCCCTTCATTCTGCAAAGGCGTCTCTGGGCCTGCAGGTGACAGCGGAGGGGGCGCCCTGGGGGCGGGGCGCAGGGGGAGGGGGGCGTGGCGGGAGTCCCAAGCCGGGGCGGAGCGGGGCGGAGGGGGCGCCCTGGGGGCCGAGCGGAGGGGGCGGGGCGGAGGGGGCGGGGCGGGAGTCCCGGGGGCGCCGGGACGCAAGCTCTAGAGGAGCCCAGAGCGCAGAGGCCACCCTCAAAAAGGTCCCTGGTTGCTACGGACGGGACTGTGCTCCCTTCAGATTCCTCTGTGGAAGCCCTGCCCCCCAGCACCCCAAAACGGACTGCGTTTGGAGACAGGTCCTTTCACCTGGCGA